CTCTTGTGCTGGCAGAAGAAAACAGATAAGGCAATGAAACACTGCTTTATGTTAGCAATAAAGTGTATTTGTTTACATGGTCATAACACATATATACATTAAAATTGTCCTGCAAATACTTAAAAGAGATGTCTAAATTTAAATGCCTGTGTAGTTCCACTGACTTTTATTTTACAGTTGAAAACTGGAAGCTTACTGTTATTAATGTCCCTTTGGCACAAGTACACAAAATAAAGTCCTAAATAAGCCTTAAATTCAGCATAAATTAAAAAAAATCTTAAAAATTAAAAAAAAGGCAGAAAACTGTTTTCAAATCCGTACATTTTTTTCCTCTCTTCCCCAGTTTAATTTAGCACTAACAGAGAATTGCCTTGATTTTCTTCCACTGAGTGCAGACACTTCCACATACTTGAGGAAATCATGTTATTCCCTCAGACCACTCAGATCTGTGAGTCCTGGCACAAAGATTTCAGCTTTGATTGAGTACTTAGCACCACGTGCAATAGTTAACAGCAATCTCTGGACAAAGAAGGAAAGTCTATTTTGGACTTCACACACACAGACACACACACACAGACACACACACACACACACACACACACACACGCTCACGCATGCACACCCACCCCATCATTCTTGCTCATATCCTACATTGAGATCTATGTGCTTTTCAGTATACATGCCCTGCCCCACGTCGCTGCAGGCACTGGAGCAGCAGACTGGGCTCAGCCTTTTGTCTTCTGTGTTACTGATTAGGGCATCTGTTCCTATAAAGGGTCACATCACAGGCACAGGACAGTTTGTGGATTCTGTACCCATCAGCTGCTGCCAGGTGAGAAATGGGCTTCTCTCCTTCCCTTTTTCCCCACCACATCATCACCAGCTAATACCTCTGTGCTGCCACCTCCTGAAGACAAGACATGGTGACTGCACCAGGCACCCGGCCGAGCTCTGTCTTTGCCAGAGTTTGTTGCATGGATCCAGGTCCTGCAAAGCTAAATTCAATGATAAACATACACAAAGAATAGCCATGTTCTACTGTCGGCTCTCGCAGCTCTGGTCACATCAGCTGCACAGATTCGTCAAGAACACGTTTCCTTCCCTCTCCACAGAGATAAAAAGAAATAGAGTACATGAAGCTTTTTGTTAACAATTTCAGTAAGATTTTTCTCAAAAGGCAGACTCTTTGTTAAAGAAAGAAGAATAAACGCAAAATTAAAAAAAAAAAAAAAAGACCACCCTATAATCTCCTAAGAATTTTGGTGACTTTATTACTCTGAAAATGTTTCTTTTTGCATACTTTCAGTAGCAAAGGAAAATAATACCCTCCATTATATCAAACAAATTATAAAATCTTCCTAGAGCAAGATTTTTTGCTGTTCCTTTTAACAATAAATCATAATCACTTTGGCAAGGGAATCACTAGTTTCCTGAAATATCTCCTCTTTTTTTTTTTTTTTTTAAATGATAAACACTACCAAGACTTCTGGAACAATGAAAGAGCAAAGACTTATTTGAATGTCACTACATCACATTTCACCCACACAGAACAAAGAAAGAGAAGCCACAGTTTCATTTCAAAAGTATTTTCATTTTAACATAGTTCACTCTTTTGCTGCACCAAAGCCTTGAGAAAAAGGTGAGGAATCTATGCACTAGCTGAAGAACAGAATAAGCAGACCAAGAAAATGCCAGTTTACTTAAGTGAAATGCCACATGCATACTCAGCTGACTTCTTGTGGTACTCCTGGCTTTTACAACACTTCTCCAATGTAGTTATAAAGAAGGAGACTCCTACGATATATGATGAGGTAAAAAGAGAGGAAGTGTTTAACAAGTTCCAGTCCTCTAAAAGATATTGCTTAAAACTTCAAATACAAAACAATGCAATATCCTTATGAGATAAAGCAAAATCACGATAATCTTCTTAGGCCGGTTAATTGCATGTGTGTGAGAGTGTAAAACAAAAAGGCAAAATTAAGTTTTAATTAAAGATATGAGGCTGATGATTATATTTAATGATAAAAAAGATAATTAAATAATGCTACAATTATTATTGTTTCCTTGACTGTTCTTCCCTATCTGAACATTTTATTGAACTCTATAGGATTTGTTTTTCTCTTTAGTCTCTCTGTTCCTCTTTGAAGACTTTCTGATGTTGTCTGTTTCTTTGGTAAAACTCAGGAGCAAAACTTGTCCTTAATAAAAATCCAGTGACAAAAACAAAATAATTAAACTTCACTGGTGTCAATGGCATTACAATGGAGATGGAATTTCTCATTCAATTCAAATTCACATTCAATACACCATACAAGCTCACATACAAGTTGGCCCTTATAAACATAAGGTCCTTCAGGCTTTTCTTGTAGTACGTAGAAAGGAAATGATGTAATAAAACAAGGGTGACATAGAAACATGAGTTTGTTGCTTTCCCTTTGTAGAAAATAAGGTTGTTTTTTTTTATTTTATTTTTTAATGGGTTTCTGAAAACTTGATAGTTTGCTGAGAGTAGAATTTCTGAATCTTATAAACCTATCATTTACACTACAAACATCTTTCATTGCATGGTATCCTGTTGGTTACATAAATTGATGAATGTATGTCATGGTTTAAGCCCAGGCTGTAAATCAGAACCACGCAGACCTCAGGCTCACCCCCCACGCCCTTCTCCCCCAAGCCCGGCTCCCAGAGGGACGGGTAGGGAATCAAAAGAATTTAACTCCCATGGGTTGAGATAAGAACAGCCCAGTAACTACGGTATAACATAAAACCACTACTGTTACTGCGGCCATCTCCTCTCTGGAACTGGTGCTAGGAGCTGAGCTGCGGCCCAGCCATGGCTGCTGTGTACATGGGGCATCGCCCTTAGCACGTGGGCACTGAGCTCTCACTGCCACTGTCCTAGTGCGTTCTGTATAATAAATACATCACTGTGTAATTTTTTATAACATAAAACCACTACTGTTACCACCAGTAAATAATGATAAGGGAAATAAAAAGGGAAGAGAATACAACACCTCACCACCTGCCTATACTTAGCCCGACCGAGCAGTGAGCATGTCCTTCCAGGTAACTCCCCGTACATGTGGCCATGACATGCTGTGGTATGGAATACCTCTTTGGCTAGTTTGGGTCAGGTGTCCTGGTTCTGCTTCCTCCGGGCTTCCCCTCCTCCCCGGCAGAGTATGAGACTCACAAAGTCCTTGGTCAAACCAAACATTTGAGTAGTAACTAAAAACATCGGTGTTATCAACGCTGTTCTCCAGGCTGAAAGTCAAGAAACACAGCACTGCACCATCTATTAAGAAAGAGAAAAATATGACTGCTACGGCTGAACCCAGGACACCCATCCTGGTTGGTTGCTGAGGCGCCGGCACAGGGTGCCCAGAGCAGCTCTCCAGCCCCCGGTCCTTGCCTGCTGCCCCAGGCCACTGGGAGCCCTGGCACAAGGCCAGGCACAGGCAGTGATGGACACCCCATGTTCCTCTCCAGCCACACCCTTGTGCCCGCAACCGCTGGGCAGCCGGCACCAGGGACCGTCCCTCACCAGGGGCTGCGCAAGATGGCGCCACAGGACCCCTCACACCTCTCACCGCAGGCAGAGCTCTGCGGCACGGCCAGAGGAGGAGCCACCATCCTGACGGCGGGAGCTCCTCGCCTGCTGGGCGGAGCTCTGCGCAGGCTGTGCTGGCTGCAGGAGAGAAGGGGGAATGGGAACAGGGGCATGCAGGAACAAACGGACGCCCACTCACTCCATTGCAGAAAATACCCCAAAGGAAACGTCCTCCCCCAGCCATGCTGCTGCCGGTGCCTGCTGGGGTACACGGG